CCTTTTCCTTTGATTTCAATGCTTAGCCACCTATAACTATGTATAATTGTCATGTTATGAGAAACAACTTGGTCATTTGTTTAAAAATGTAGAAAATGGGCAAGTAGAAGTCAAATAGGCCTTATTTTGGCTATTTTGGATGAAAATGAGACCTTAAACTTAGTCAAATGCCCTTTTTCTGTGATTTCAAGGCCTAGCCACCTATAACTATGTATAATTGACATGTTATGAGAAAGAACTTGATCATTTTTTTTAAAAATGTAGAAAATGGGCAAGTAGAAGTCAAATAGGCCTTATTTTGGCTATTTTGAATGAAAATGCGACCTTAAACTTAGTAAAATGCCCTTTTCCTTTGATTTCAAGGCTTAGCCACCTATAACCATGTATAATTGACATGTTATGAGAAAGAACTTGGTCATTTGTTGAAAAATGTAGAAAATGGGCAAGTAGAAGTCAAATAGGCCTTACTTTGGCTATTTTGGATGAAATTGAGACCTTAAACTTAGTAAAATGCCCTTTTCCTTTGATTTCAAGGCTTAGCCACCTATAACTAAGTATAATTGACATGTTATGAGAAACAACTTGGTCATTTGTTTAAAAATGTAGAAAATGAGCAAGTAGAAGTCAAATAGGCCTTATTTTGGTTATTTTGGATGAAAATGCGAATGTTTTTAATTTATTCTAACATAATTTAGTATATATTCCAAGTTTTGCAAGGTGAAAAAGGGGGATCTGTTAACTAGCAAGGAGCTTAATGAAGTTCGAGACATGTTGGCATCTTTCATCACCTTCAATTTGTAAATGTGGCATCATTTTGAATTTATACTTTGTTTATTATTAACTTTTAAACTACAATATTGTCTGGTTATTAGTATTGTTTGTATTTATTTATATATCACACTTTATTTAATTTGTTGTATTGCATTTGGATTTTAATTATAAAAGTAGTCTAAATAAATATTTTTAATTCTTGTTATGATTATTATTAATAATTATATTATGGCAGAATTTTAAGGAATAATATGCCAGAATATTATAGCAGGATCAGTTGCAGGAATAATTGCAGGCCAAAAAAAAAAAAAAAAAGATCCTTTTATTGCCACCGGTTTACCGGTTCGAACCGGTGGCAATAGTCTACCTTCAGCAGCTAAAAAAAGGCGCCATTTTTTTATTGCCACCGGTTAACCGGTGGCCATAATTAGTATTACCACCGGTTAACCGGTGGCCATGACCACTAAAACCGGTGGCCATTTACTGATTTATTGCCACCCCCCAAATGACCACCGGTTCAAAACCGGTGGCAATGGGGGGTTTTCAACCGGTGGCCAATTGCATTTTTCGCCTAGTGATTCTAACACATAGTCTTGGAATTGAACCCATGACCTCCAAAAATAACTGAAAATGTACACTTTAACCACTACACCGCATCTTTTTCTTTCTCATTGTGCTGCACACAAATTGTTTATAGTTGCTCCATATTTGTTTTTTCTTAAAAATATGGAGAACAATTGTCCCCTTGTCCCCACTTGATTGGGTCCTCCAATAGTGTTCTATAATATTTACCACACCCTTACAATTATAGCGGGAAGAGGTCGTACGCTATGACTTAATCAAAAATTCAAAATACGTTTTCGTTAACATCTTTCGTAAAAATATCTACAAATTGATATCTAATATGAACATGTAGAACCTTGATTTGACCCAAAACAATATTTTCTCAAACAAAATGAATCCTATATTTGTCACAAATGTTATCTTTCGATAATATCTATTAGGTAACATTACATACACAAGTAACACAGCCAATTGAATACTGTGACATTAATTATTACATGACCTCTACAACTCACTTCCTTTTAGCTCTTGAAAGTTCAAATTAGCTAGTTGTAACATTAATTATTTTGAGTAATAAATTAACATGCCCCTAAAGCATATGTAATACTACTGATTATAGTATAAAATCGTACTTCTATAAATAAATTGCATACTCAAGTAGTCAACTAAATGACCCAAAACGAATAAGACCAGCCAATACCATCTTAAAAAAAAAAAAAAAAAAAAAAAAAATAGCCAACTTTCATGGGTCCAACCGTCCAATCTACGTTGTACCCGAACCAAAAACCTTTAAACCCTTTGTTATTTTAACTTTATTTTTGTTGTAATTAAATAAATTTTTTAACACATTCTGGAATTACATTATTTTTGTGAAACTATTTTTTTTTACTGGTTTAATATTATTATATTAGTACCATGATTCCATGAATGCTTTAGTGGCCTAGTGGGACAAAAACCCAAAGAATACTTCTCAACTTATACTTGTACTGTCACATTGTCACAATAAAATTATATAAAAAAAATATAAAAAATTAAAAAATAAAACCCAAAACCACACTAGTCAAGAAATTAGAAAAATAAACTCTTTTTGTTATTTTCACTCTTTTTTTCGTTCTTTTTTATATAGTCACAAAAAAGAAAAAAAGAGCATACTTGTCAAGAAAATACCTAGAAAAATAAATAAAGGACAACAACTTTTTGATAATTAATTAATGAAACCTATTACAAATTTGGCTAGACAATGCACGAGAGAAGACCTTAACGCATATGGGGTGTATAAAGAGTGAAAGACCCTCCTCGTTATTTGCGTTTACTCATGCGACTACTTGCGTTGACAATTATGCAGTTTTGTCATTTATTTCATTTCATAGTACGAGTCCCATATTATACGCGCCCATAATTAAATTATAACTATGTCTAATGCGACTACTAAAACTCTTGATTTTACAGCTAAATGTCAGAAAATTTTCGATTATAAAATAATACTCCCTAAAAGAACGACTCATTTGGCCAAAACTTTGTCCCATAAAGAATGACCCATTTGCATTAAAACACCACCAATTTGCAACAATATTTCTGCAAAATTAGCTTCCCTATATAAAAATTTCATTTTCCATGTTATTTTATTACTTTCTCTCTCTATTTGTTTAGAAACCCCATGTAAATTTATCTTTTTTTTTGACAAGAAGAAAAGGGATTTCATTAATAAAATATAGCCAAACGGCACTTACATATAATTCCTAAAAAATCAAAAATTTCAATATAAGTACACACCTTAAAACTAAATACATCGTAGATTTGATTAACAATCGCCTTAATAAAAAATTTCATCTGAAGCAATACAATCTGTGAGTTCGCACTGATTCGGCTTGAAATCCACTGATGCGTAGTCGTCTGAGTGAAAATACTCACGTGGTCCTCCGGATTCTTGTAGAGATTATGAAACCCTAAATCTTCAATTTTCACAAAACAAACACAAAAAGAAAATAAACTCAAGACAAAAATCATCATCACAAGGATGAGATCTATTTATTGAAAGCAATTGAAAGGTTTTTTGGGCTTACCACCGGTAAAAATACCAGTGGAAGCCCCTACAAAGATTCACAACTGAGACCAAGAGGAAAAGAGATGGAGAGAAAAGGGAGAAGAGAGAAGGAAAACCTCAAAAAACCTAGCAATGGAGGCTAGGAAAACCTTCCCAAGGGAAAAACCCTAGAAGGAACAAAAAAAAACCCTCCCCATGTAAATTTATCTTTCCAATATACTTTTACTTTTTTTTACTTAACTTCCTTAATACCCGCGTAATCAACCCAAATAGGTCGTTCTTTTTGGGACGGAGGGAGTAGTATATATAAACCGAAACAAAACTAACAAGATGTTATATAGATTTACCTTTTGTTATGTATGAAGCACAATATGTAAATGGAGAGGAGTGTGTAAATAGTGCAAAAATACAATGATGTTGCAATATTCCAATCGATGAAGTTGAATTGCTACATAATGGAGCTATGGTGCCTAAGGAGTATCGACCTAGCATAATCAAGTAGGAATCAATGAGCTTTTTGCTGTATGGTATTATTGATCGATGATTAGCGTGTTTTTTGTGCGGTTGAGCAAATTAAACCGTGTGGCTATCTGCCAAAAAAAATTATCCCTATTATATTGATATATTAGCCCTTTTTTAAATTTTACTTATTGAGTAATCTTTATTTAACTATATTACTAAGTAAATCCTATAACTTTAATGGGATTACCTTACTTTATTACAATAGCAGCTGTTTTCGCAAAAGAATTACGAGATCTGAGTTGTGGGGGAGCCCGCTCGCCGGGTTTAACTACTAACTGAGTCCTACAAAACAATGAAAGTCAACTGCCTCGGGGGGTGTTCCCGAGAAAGCCCCTCCGACGTCAAGTCAGTCAACGATGTTTAGAGAGAAAGTTTGTAGAGAGAGAGAGAGTCGAGAAAAAATTAATTACCTCACTAATCTGTGAAGATTAGTATTTATAGGAGAGGATTAACTAACTTGATTAGGGTTAGGATTAGGATTTCTTGCCGTTCTGGGTCGTGTTAGGCCTTGTTGAGCCACATTAGGGTTTCTCGAGATGCGTGATGTGCATGATGATTGAATTTTCTTGTTTAGGCACGTTCATACAACAACATAACCTATGGCAGTTAGCCACACGGTATAATAAGCCGCATATAAAAGTTAGTGATGGAATCACAAAAACAAAATGAAAAAATTCGGAAAAAAAAAGTAAATAAAAGCCCTAGTAAAGACAAGTTCACTCAATCTAATTTTGTTAAACATAAACTTCAACAATGTTTATGTTTTTTAATAATTAAATTATGGAAAATGATACACATAGCCCTTAGGGCTACACATAAGCATTAAATTTACACTTGAAAATTGTAAATAGTTAAGAAATCATGAAAATCTAAATACTAATTACACTGATTTACGCGTGTTTTTTTTTGTCATGAATTCCTAATTTTATACAATTTCAAGAGTATATAAAATGCTTATATATAGCCCTTAGGGCTACATATAGCATTACCCTTAAATTATTAGGAAAATAATTTTAAAAAATTCAAATTAACTTGCTGACAGGGAATCGGGATGGGGGAGGTTTGGCTTTGCCGGCCGGGGGCGGGGATGCAGGAGAGGGCTGGTGACCAGGTGGGTGGGGAAGGGGTTGTAACTTAATAAGTACAAAATTATAATGTTACCAATGATAATAAAAAATTTCACTTCTTACCAACAAGAGTAAGGGATATCTCAAGTAATTAGAGCTTTACTCTTGATTTCAAGAGATCTTGGAACCGATTTTCATTACCGGGCCTTTTTTGATTTACTGAAAATAACTAATCTGATTGGAGCTGAAATGAATCGAACAAATCCTAATAATACTGAACTGATATTATTTTAAGTGAATATTAATTTTTTTTTTAAAGGTAAACTAAACATGGCCTTAGTCTAAAGCAATTTCCATAAGTAAGTCAATATTATTAGCTTTCAAGCATTAGGGTAGGGAACATAGACCTCGACTTAGTTGACGCGGTGCAAAGGACGGTTAACTAGTTCATCTTTGCCCCCTCACATGCTTTTAAGCCATACTAAATTATCTCTTAAACTGAAATTGCACTCTCTTTTTTTTTTCATGAGTTCATCACATAGCTTTCGATACAAAAATAAGCACAAAACGATGTTGAAAGGGGAATTTGGTTGGGGTATATCTTTCTTGCTAATCGTTTTAGCAATATTGTCGTCTTTACCACACCAAACTATATGCCAAGAAGTTGCTTCGGTTTCTACCACAAAAATATCCCTTCCTGATTGTCCTGACAAATGCGGCGACGTTGCCATCCCCTATCCTTTCGGCATAGGGGATAAGTGCCACTACCATCATCTTAAAGACGGCGTATTCTACAATATCACTTGCAACCACACTAGGGTCCCTCGTTTCCAACTTACGGAGGTGTCAAGGTAGTAAAAATCACTCTAGATGGCGAATTCAGGGTAAGTAACTACATTTCATATATGTGTTTTGATAAAAATGGTATGATAACCCAAAATACAACATCGTGGATTAGTGTCACAAGATTTGCACTATCGACAACCCAAAACATAGCCGGCGCCATTGGGTGCGATACCATGGCTGTGTTCTCTGGAACAATGATGAATAGTACAACTGAGTTTCTGTCAGGGTGTATAACGGGGTGCTTTAGCGAATCAGATGTGAGCAGTAAATGCGAAGGCCTCGGATGCTGCCAGGCCTCTATTCCAGACGGAGTATCCAACATTACATTAAAAGCTGGTACTATCATGAACCACACATATGTAGTAGATTTCAACCCGTGCAGCGTTGCGTTTGTGGTGGCTAAGGATCATCTTCAACAAAGTCACTCCGATGAAATGCTCTTCACTATTCAGTCTTTTCTAAAAAAAGATGTCTCGCTTTACAAAGATGCCAGCGAGTTGTTGTATCCAGCGGTATATGATTGGTCAATTGGAACTAAAGATTGCAAAAGCGCGAAAGCAGAAGGGGAGCAATTGTTGTGCAAGGGTAACACCAAGTGTGTTGATGACTTGCCGGGGCAATGGGGTTACCGTTGCGAGTGCAAACCTGGATTCACGGGTATTAATCCCTACCTTCATGATTGTCAAGGTGATCTAACTTATCCTTTCAATTTCATTCTTTAATTAATTACTAACTCTGTTAATTATTATGTGTAACTTTGGTATATTTGATAGAAAAACTTTTGTATACATCTGGTTTACACTAATATTACTGTATAACCTGGTCCTCCTTCCGTTTTTAAATATTTGCTCCACTTTCTTTTTCGGCCGTTATTAAATACTTGATTCATTTCCTTATTTAGAACTCTTTCACAATATTTAATTTATTTTACTCACATAGTGGACCCAACAAATAATATATTTTATTAATTTCATATTCTCTCTCCTTCAATTTCTCCACTAGCTACTTTTGCTTTTTACAATTTTTTTATTCTTCCACCAACCCCATTACCTCTATATTTTATTATTTTCTCTAATTTCTACTAAAATTCCGCGCATGAAGAAATGGAGCAAGTATTTAAAAACAGAGGGAGTAGTTGATAAAGAAAGTATGTTGCAGCTAATTCTTTATTGGATTTATCCAGATATTAATGAGTGTGCGGACAATGGTTTACATAATTGTGAAAAACAAGAGTATTGTCACAACAACCCTGGAAGTTATCGTTGTCAATGTCCGCAAAGCTTCAATGGCAATGGCACAAAGGAAAGTCCTTGTGTTAGAATCCAAAAGAAAGTATTACTGCCAATGGAATCTATAATCATACTTGGTGAGTATAAGTTACTTTTTTTCCTATGAAACCACCTTATATATAATTTTCTGAGCACACATTAACTTGAGTTGGTGAAGGCAGTGAGGTGGTCTTGATGAGGGTGGTAGACAGTGCACGCGGTGGTGGTGGTGGTAACGGTGAAGTTGTTTTGGTGAGGCTGTGCGGGAAAAAGGGGGTGGGGGATTAAAGGAGAGTACGGTTTTGTGATTCACGTAACCTTTACGTGACCAAGTCTTAACACCGATATGGCGATATACAATTAGGTTCAAGGTTGAAATACGGCATTAGGAAAAAAATAAAATAAAATAAAAAATAAAAAAAATTAAGGTGTGTTCTTACAAACAAAATAAATAAATAAAATAAAATAATTATTAGGTGATTTTTTAAATAAAAAACATGTGTTTTATAAGAAGGTTTTAGCAATTTTTTTTATTACATTAACATTTAAATATATATTTTTTTCTTTCAATTTGTTTTTAAGTTTGAATATATATCTAGTAAGTAAAAGATGAATTTATGTAAAAAAAAAATAAAAAATCTATGAGGTCAACAAAGGACTTTAATCACGTAATAATAAAATTTTGGGTTTTTTTAAGCTATGCCCCCCAAGTTCTTCGGTTTCTAAGTTGTACCCATGCATTTTTAAAGTTATAAGTTGTGCCTGCCACCTCACAATATTTTATCAAAAATAACCTTTGACATCCATTTCCGATCCGTTAACAAAAGTTGAGTTATTTTATCAACAATGGTGTCGTGGCATTATTAATTAATTTGACACGTGTTTCAATCTAATTGGTTTAACACTTTTAAAAAAAATTAAAATCAGAAAATAAAATAATAATAAAAAAAATGGTTATTGTTAACCTCAAAGGTTATTGTTAATAAAAAATAGTGAGGTTGAGGGCAAAATTTAGACGTTTGAAAAGGCATGAACATAACTTAGAAACGGAAGAAGTTTGGGGCATAAAAAATTTATTGGTTAAGAAGGATTACTCAGCAAAACTAAAAAATTATGTCCTCACTTTTTTTTTTTTAACCAATTATGTCCTCATTTGGTCATGGACTCATGGTTAACCAAATGAATAAATGATTTACCCAAGGACAATATACTTGTATAAAAAAAAATAAAAAAAACCCACTGTGACCATGCTTAAGGACAATATATATATATATATATATATATATATATATATATATATATATATAAAGGAAAAAAGTAGTTCGTGTCGTTAGTTTAGATAAAACTAATACGTACGGGTTTGTTTATTTCAGCTTAATTTCAGTTCAGCTTAGTTAAGTTCAGCTTTAATCAGTTCAATTCAGCTCCTAATTTTCTTCTCTCATAAAATATTCATTTCAGCTTTATTCAGTTTAGTTCAGCTCCAATCAGTTCAGTTCAATAAATGTAAACAGGTCCGTAGTATAGACAAAACTAATACGTACGACTTGTTCACTTCAGCTTAATTTCAGTTCAGCTCAGTTAAGTTCAGCTTCAATCAGTTCAATTCAGCTCCTAATTTTCTTTTCTCATAAAATATTCATTTCATCTTTATTCAGTTCAGTTCAATAAATGTAAACAGGTCCGTAGTACTTTTTTTTTGTTCAAGATAAAACCAATAGTACTTCGTAGTATTTTCCATTGCATCTAAAATCATTCATTTATGGCCCTACATTCTTCGATCTGATGTTTACGCAACTTTCCTCCTTTATTGGCTGTTTATATATCGATATCAATTCTAGTCAATTTCTCCGTTGATTTTTCTTCTTTTCTACTAGTATGTTCAATTCTTCCCAAATTCCTTCATTGACGGGGTCAACAAATTTGTTTCCCTCCTATTCTCATCAAATTTTGTAATTAAAGATATTAATTAATGGTCAACAGTGCACCTAAAAGATAGTTTAAAACAATGCAATAAGAGTATCATTTTTTCATTTTGGTAAATGTTTTTACAGATATATGCTCATTACAAGTCCACAATTAATCTGCTTATATACCACGACTTACCCACTTTAGGTTAAAAGTACCATTACTTGATAATGGTTTAAGTACGTAATAGTTTTGACCCATTTGTTATCTCTAAAATCTAAGGTAACAATTACCTTACTAAGGAATGTACATTTAGGTTTAAGAGATTACTTTTCATAGTTAAACCAAACAAATAAAAAGGTGAGAGATAAATAATGATTCTTTTCCACTCATTTCTAGTACTCATACTAAACACCCTCTTAAAATATCTTAATGGTCACTTACTCACTTGAATTGTTGAGTGATTATTCAATTAATAATGGCCATTCATCCTTGTTGCCCCAACTTACATCATTTCATGTTGCCTCAGATATCATGCAATTAATAAGTGTTAACATTACAATGAAACAATAATATATGTATATACTATATTACCATATATTATTTCACCATAAAAATGGATGTGTACATAATAAAATCTACGTTTCCAAGAGTGAATTGAAATCGAGTTAAAAGAGAAGTTTAATTTCATTGTTATTTTCTACGTTTCCAACAATGGCGGCTATGAAAACGACGGCATGAACTACTCTTCGAGCAGCCAAAGCAGAGTTGTGCAGTTGGTGCCTTTGGATGATGGGAGATGATCATTACGCTTGACCTACAATAATGGTTTACTTAAGGATAAAAAATAGAATTTGGGAAAGATACTCTACCTAATGTTAGAAAAAGTTTGAGCTACATCTATATTATTTAAACAGTTATAAAAGTGTATGTATGCAAGGTATAAGATAGGTTAATATCCCACTATCTTCTTGTACATCCCTTGTTTAACTATATATGTTCTGATTGTCTGATTGAATAATAGCAGAGTTTACAAGCTAATTTAAGCTTGTCATTTGTGCTCTTTATCATACAATATGAAGTAATCTAGAATCAATAATCTAGCGTCTTAATTTTATGTATCAAAGCTAGATCAAGATCAGAGTTGCAACTAACATTATTGTTGGAAAAGTTTAAATAAAAACAGCCTAAGCCAAGAAAGTATTCAAATTTATTTAATTTATTATTAAGTAGAGAAAAAAGTTTGAATGTTATTTATGGAGTTGTCAAAATTAAAGTTGACATGTTACTAACCCGACTTGAATTTCAACCCAACCTGATATTAACCAGACTTAAACTCAACCTAAATTGTTACTAATTCGACCCGAAATCAACTCGACTTGTTGTTGACCCGACCCAAATTTAACTTGTTCCTGACCCATTTCAAACTCAATCTAAAACATATTATAGACTTGACCCAATTTAAATCACCTTAAATTCAATTTGAACCACCTTATTAATATATAATATTGGTATATAGTTACATTGCATACTCCTTTATAAATTATTTCTACTAAGAATATGATGTTTGCCGCTAGGGCTGTCAAACGGGTCGTGTCGTGTCGGGTTCGTGTTCGTGTGGATGTTAAACGGCTTGAAAAACCCTTGACCCAAACCTAACCCATTTATTAAACGGGTTGAAAACCCTTGACCCAAACCTAACCCACTTATTAAACGGGTTACCCGTGTAACCTTTTACATACCCATATAATATGTAATAAACTATAATATTCAATTTCAAACTTAAAATACTACAAGAGTTTAAAGTTATTAATTTTAGCAAAAGTACTGTAGGAATTTAAAGTTGGCTGCTTTAGTAGCACAACCATATATAAAAATTGTCCCAAATTAACAGCAAAATTTTAATTTACAAAAGTTGAAATCTATTTTATCCTCCAAATTAACCGCCAAAAATTACCTAAATGTATACATGGTGCCAAGGCAATTTACAAAATTACAAGTTTAGAATAAAAATTTTGTTCTTTTTTTTACTACTTAATTAATAGATTAAGCGTGTCGGGTTCAGGTTAGCGGGTTGTCGTTCAACCCAGTTATATAAATAGGTTATGCGTGTCGATTTCGAGTTGAAAATTTCAACCCAAACCTAACCCGTTTAATTTCGTGTCGGGTTCGTGTCGACCCAATTATGTAAACGGGTTGAGAATACTTGACCCAAACCCGCTTATTTCGTGTCGGGTTATCGTGTCATGTCAGCTTTTGATAGCCCTATTTGCCGCGCAAAGAAGAATATATAGAGATTATATATGAAACTAATAACTTTTTGTGTGTGTCACTTGTGTAGTTATGTGCTTGTGCAAATGAGTTATTATGAGAAGTTCAATAGTCAATATTTCGATATAATACATATGACTAACGGTGTACACTCATTGGCCTGGACCTGAATTGGACCGGATCGGACAGGAACCGGACCAGTGAATTTAGGTCCGATCTTGGTCCTTAAAAATCCATGATTCCAAGTTTCAGGCCAGGTCAGGTCCGGGTAAAACCCGGAATTTTCAGGTACGGACCTGAAATCGTATAACTGCTTTTTTTTTTTATTTATTTAACAGATCCCAACAGGTCTAAACAGGTTCTAACATGTCCATATCAAGTCTAAATAGGTCCATAAACGGGTCTAAACAGGTTCATAAATAGGTCCAACAAGTTTTTTATTTGAAAAAAAAAACTGAACAAATTAATAATTCGATCTATTCAGATCCAAACCCGGATCGGACCTAATTTTTCAGGTCTGGACCAGAACCGGACCTGTTGATTCAGGTCCGGGTCAGGTCCGATTTTGGACCGGTGTACAGCCCTACATAAGACTCCTTACATAGTTACATGCATAGACTAATTATAGCTACTTGCTCATTTCTAAGTGTAAAAATATATTTAGCATATATTCTCTAATTATTGTATACTCCCTCCATCCCATAATATAATTCCTGTTTTCATATTTTGGGGAACCAAAATAATGTTTTTTTTTTTTGTTATAGTATGTATTATACCCTTATTTTTTTAATTTTATTTATTATACTTCCTAATTTACTTTTGAATTTTGCACATGCCTAGTACTTTTTTCCACTTTCTCTTTCTAACTTTTGTCTATAATTGTGTTTTTTTTTTACTTTTATTAATGTTTATCCACTTTCTCAACCTATTTCTTAAATACCGTGAAAAAACACAAACAAGAATGATATTATGGGACGGAGGGTGCATCTCTTTATTATTGTAGATATTCACTAGCTAAATAAAGATGTATACAATCATTAGAGAATATATGCTAAATACATTCTAAGTTACTCATAAAGTCGTAACTTTGTAAGGCTAAAACTACTCTATGTTAATATTGATCAAAGTATTTTGTCTTGAATCCAGAGAGACCAAGTCGCACCAGCAAAAGAAAGAAGCATCATCCCCAAATTTTGGTGTTAAATAAAGTATATATTTGTTGTATGTATGGTCAAAGCAGATAATTAGCTTCTTATATATATATATATATATATATATATATATATGTGTGTGTGTGTGTGTGTGTGTATGTGTGTGTGTGTATATATATATGTATGTAGAAGATAGCTCTTAGGAATAGTGTTCTACCAACGATATCCTCAAAAAAGTGTATAAAAATGTGTATTTACTTTTTTACCCTCATTAATATGTTTACTCATTTTTTTTCCTCATAAATATGTTTACTCATTAATATATTTAATTTTTTTTTCATTAAACCTATCATCAATTAATTAATTTTTTTTTAACAAAAAACTTATAATGCTTTTTTTTAATAAAAAAAATTCTAATGCTTTATACTTCATATGTTATTATTATTATTTAAAAAGAAAAAAATTGTATGTACAAAGAGACTGTTTATTATCAAAAGACTGTCTATTTTTACTCCTTCGTGGTTGTAGGGACTATTTCAAGCATAACCCCTAGCTTGAACCCCACTGTGGATCATACACTAAAGTACGGTGACATCCAAAAGGAAAGAAGATAGAGCAAAAGAGTCGCCAACAAGTTTTAGGAACTTGTAAACCGTTCACAGGGTGAAAGTTACACCCCTTAACGATCCAGGAGATCGTCAAATCCAATAGGTCTGGAACCATGACTGGTAGTTCGGGGATGAAGGTACAAATCCAACCTAAAAGAGATTGATCCTGCCTTAATAATAGGTGTAGGGAATATTTCAAGCGTTAACCCCTAGCTTGAACCCCACTGTGATCATACAATAAAGTACGGTGGCGTCCAAAAGGGAAGAAGATAGAGCAAAAGAGTCGCCAACAAGTTTTTTAGGAACTTGTAAATCGTTCACAAGGTGAAGGTTACACCCCTTAACGATCCAAAAGATCGTCAACTCCATAAGGTCTAGAATCAAATAAGGGTTCGGGAATGATGGTACAAATCCAACCTAAAAGAGATTGAACCTGCCCTAATAATAGGCCTCTACTTTATTCTGATCGTATTCATGTACGCTTTCTGACTAACATGCAATCATTAGGTTAACCCTAAACCTGTTTAATCTATGTTGGTTCAATATTAATGCACAAATAAACAATTATTGGCGATCAATTGAATTATAATCACAATTAACCCTGACAAGATTATTAATTGTTTTATTAAGCGTGATTACAAGTACCAATTCCCTTTAAACATGCATAAAGGCGTGATCAAGCAATAAAGAATAAATATCAAGCAACATAATAAATAATAATAAATAATCAATCATTAGAATAAACATGAATAATAATAATCATCATCAAAATAATAATAATAATAATAATATTCATAAATTATCATAAATTATAAAAATTATAATCATAATCATGTTCATGTTAATATTAAAGCATAATAGTAGCAAGATCCTAGGCATGCTACTAACAAGATTAATAGCAAACCCTAACATGACACTAAGCAATAAAAATCAAATCTTTAACCCTAACATGATACTAACAATCATAAATATTAGGAAGAACATAAAATGCATCGCAAGAATCATATTTAATATATTTGATATTATAACCTTTTCCCTAAACATGATACTAGGAATATCATAATAAAAATATAAACATGATCATAATATCAATTAATCAATTAAAGCACTTACTTTGATTCCTCGTACCTCTTTCTAATAACAAAATACACATGTTAGTAACTTCAAGGAAAATAATAAACAAAATAATCAAATTAAATAATTGAAATAGAGATTTGGGACCAAACCCTCAGAAATTAAACCTTTCACGTCTAGGGCAAAGGCAACTTCGAATATGGCTAGGTGTTTCTAGGTCTTGCGAATGCGGAATTTTGTATGTGAAAACAAAGTTTAGAGAAAAAAGAATTGAAAGAGATGAATGATTAAGAAAAAATTAGTGAATCAATGATTGCGAGTGAAAACTGATTGTAGGTGAATGAAAACGGAGTTTTTAATACGTTATTTATAGAGAAATCAGCCAAAAAGATAAAATATTAAAACAGAGCACTTTGCACACGAAAAACGAGATTGGCGCACGTAAAACAGAGCTGGCGCCAACACCAGGCTATTGGCGCCAAGCGCCAATGGCTAGCACCAGGCGCCAAGCCTGATTCCAGGCGCCGGGCCTGTTTTTGACGCGTTTTCGAAAATCAGATAAATTTGCTGTACTGGATGATAAAATCGTATCTTTTCCTCGAAAATGTTCTTTGATTTTAATTAGAACTCTGAAAAGTCAAAAGTCAATTTATCAATGCTAATTAAATTAGGAATGAAAATAACCTTCTAGAAGAATCTAGAAGACTAAAACCATTCCTAATTGCATTAGGAATGATAAATCATATTAGGCCCTCCTCTAGATCATTGGGCCGTATATAAGGCTCAAACCGGGCCCAGTTTAGTAAATTGGCCATAACTTCCTCAATATTCATCGGAATTGGGCTTATAATATA